TTGATTCAGACGCCGTGCTTCTGCCGTGCTTTTGTCGAACTTAAATCCTGAATTTAGTTCGGCACGGCAAAAGCACGACGTCTGAACTGGGCCTTAGCGTCCTTAGTATTTTATTTGTTTGTTACAATTTCAACCGCTCTCAAATAATAATTTGTTAAATCAATCTCGCAACGTGCATGAATTAAACGTGGGACGATCAACTGACCAAGTTACGTGATTGGTGGTATCGTGACATGGGTTAATTAAACAGCGTTTACATTGCAGTCAAAATGTTTTCCTGTCAGTCACAGAGTCTGTTGAGATTGTTCTACCAGGCACGTATTCACTGAAATCTTACATATTCCTCTCACGTAAATAATCATTTTACCAAAAAAAGCGACGTCTTGTGTTAAAATACAGATTATCGTCCTGAATTATTTCCAAATACTCAGGACTAACATCAAAAGGAATATATGGAAATCGGATGGGAGAATTGACATTTTCGTGTTTTGGACATTCAGGGTTTGAAATGCCAACTGTATAAGACTCGTTAAGTCGATTCGGCATATTTTTATGAGTTGGCAGAATAATGTGATCTGCTATTATGAAGATTTGGTTTCATATAAACATTGTAGGGGCTGCAACACGGTTTGCACATCTTGAAAAGTTTAGCCTGGATTTTTCAATTTCGTCATTTGTAATCCGTGTTAATTTTTAAACCATCCTTAACCATCCTTGTTCCTTTATGGTCTATTATTATCTATGGTGTTTTTCTTATCTTAGATAACTTCTATTTTCAGGTTTCCTTCAGTTTAAAGGTAATTTTGTACATGGCCAAAATAACTCAAAATGCAGTGACATGAGAGAAGCACTTTTCAAGATGAATGTGATGTCACTTGAGTTATTGTGTTTCAAGGACGTTTGGAAAATATTGAAAAGCTGGGTAGTGGGTAATAAAAGGGAAATTAATCTATTTCCTCCGTCTCGGAAAATTCAAACAAAGAACTCGTAAGGCCCTCGTTATTTACACAATCTCATGATTCCGATCTTGGCATTAGTCAACGAATCACATGATATCACCTCGTGACTTTTAATTGCTCGCCGAAAAAATGATCGATCTACAGTTTATTGAACAGCTGTAGACGGCTTTCATTTTCCAAAAATTTAAAATTAGAAACACATTATCAGCGGAACAATCCGTCGAAGAATATTCTCTCCCGCCTTTAAATATAATACCGCTATAAAAAGGAGATTTGTCAAATTTGTATATTTAACTTTTTTTATGTCGTGTCTCATGTCGTTGTTGCTTACTCAATACGTTAGTCCACCATTACAAACGTAAATATTAATCGATCATGCAGTAAGGGCTGTATCGCAGGTTCCGAACTAATGCGAACAACTTGAGCACATGCGCAGTACAATTACGTCTTAGGGCCCATTATATAACAATTGACATCAACACCAGCGTTTACACCGATCTTGCATCTGTAAACTATAACTTCCCGGCCATTGCTGATTTTAATAAGTCGTTTGCTAGTAGTTTGACACGCGTTTATTTTCATTTGTATGCGAATTTTAAGCTGAGATTATAATTTCAATCTTTCTAGCGCTTCCAGTTTAATTGAAATCCATGGGCAATCGGCGTTATCATGAAATCGACCATACATGTTCAACAAATCAACTAAACCCCGGTAAAGCGGTTCAAGAGAGCGTAAACTTACTTGTTTTTCTTTCAGCTTCTGACGAGTGAATACAGTAAGTTATTTTTTTTCTTTATTGCTTGTTTCTTGTCAAACCGAACAGATATTTACAGTTAGAAGACTGCTGTGGCCGACAAGAATCCAATTACGTCAGCATGTTAGCTTGTCACTTCCATCTGCTCGCTTTTGACAAATTTACATTCAACAATTTGCGTCATAGAGCTGAGATATATATATATGGACGAATTGTCAAAGAGTCGTTCACATTATTACCAGAGCCATTTGGGCTGTTTGTGTGTCGCACATCATTAGGTGAAAAAATAGTCTTTCAAGGACTCAACTGGCCAAGACTTCCTGAGAAAGCGGTCATTTGCAAGGATTCAATTCAGCTTAAAATGAGACTTGCAAGGTGTGTAATAGAACTGTATTTTTTTATTGGACGACCATGTATTTATGTATAAACACGGTGGTCGTTGGGTTTGTGAAAGTTTCGATCACGAAAAATGGTTATTGCTTGATCGTGTAAGACGTAAAATCGGCTTAGGCATTTAGAATAAACCTTGAGGTGGATATAGCAAGCGCTGCTGGTTAATGTTTCGTTCTTGATGGCCAAGAGAAATGAGAGGAAAATTAACTTCCAGTTGACCGTTCTTTTGGCAGTTAATTTTTTTCAAGACTAGCAAACGGCTGCGACCTATTAATCAAGCTTCAAAAGCAATATTAGTTTTCAAATCCACGAGTATAACGACCTTTATTCCGGCTACTCTAAAGTAGCTCGATGGTCGGTCTCTCTGGTCACGACAGTTCAGTGGGCATATCTTTTCCGAGTCCACCGTATTGACTCCGAAGTGAAGAATGGCTTCAGAATATTTGAACTTTGTATTATTTACTCGCTACTTTCCGATACCACTTTTAATTTTCTTTATGACGCACTCGCTGGCTTGATAAAAGGTCGTGTTTTAAGGCCCAAATTATTAATTTTTTTCTCGAAAATTTCGATTTTGAGCCGATTTTGTTTTCTCAATAATCGCAAATAACGCCAAACGGCAAATTGCTTGTCAGAATATAAAATGAAAATTGTAATTTTCATCCTGATCAGACGAGGAACCGATGCAGTTTTGTCAGCGTTTTGCATACCTTGAACGTGTTTTTGTGCTGTGTTTATTGTATGGACAGCCGTGTGTAACGTTTAATTTCATGCGTACATAGATCAGCTTGGCGGACTTCTATATCTATGCATATCGAACAAAGTCTTTATATGCGTGTTTCAAAGATGGTGGCAGTTTTATTGTTAAATTTGTAAGATTTATGTGCAATAACACCTCTTTCAATGCAGTTTCAAAGGCGGGTGAGATACCATGGCCTTTCTTTCTGCTGGAAAGATAACAAGGCCGGCAAGAATCGACAGTAAAGTGTATCATTAATATTTCATCGTGTAGACATTTTAAAACTGTGGAAGGCGACATATGGTTGAAGTTTTTCTTCGCATTAAACGTGAAAACCTGCGTCTGACATAAAATTATGCAATAAATAGTCCCATAGTTTTCAATAATTATGCGAGTTTCAAGACGTAGTATAATGAAAGCTCTTACTGTTGAGTTGAAGCGCGCAGTTCCGGTGAAACAGAGAGCGCGCGCGCGCGTTGAAACGCGAAGCACACGCGCGATGTCCTTACACGGCATAGCCTGAGGGAATGTCAATTTAGAAAACAAACCGACTATTTCGTTTATTGCAAATGACCACAACTAAAACTAGACTGGGGGCGTTTCAGACTGAAAGTTTTTCCTAATTGATTAACAACTCACATTTCATTAAGTCCAATTTCGGGTTTGTTCAACCGGGCTTAATAAAAATACCCAGTTCTAAAAATCACACGAAGCGGTACTCGTGTTTTTCTCGCGAAGGAAAAGCAGGTTATTCTAAAAAACGCAAATTTGCGAGGGCAGCACGCATATGTTCATTCTTTTTCATTATCATTTTTTCCCTTCTTTACGGGGAATGAAAGAAAACTGGCGGAAAGCGGGAGAGGAGAACAATAGACCATTTTACAGTTGTGTGCTCAGTGACCTGGCCTTTGTATGGCAGCGAGGCTAGAGTTGACCTTGNCAACTCTAGCCTCGCTGCCATACAAAGGCCAGGTCACTGAGCAGACAACTGTAAAATGGTCTATTCACCATCAAAGTTAATATGCAAAACGAAAATATCGGAAACTTCGCATATAATTTGGAAAAAACACCTACAACTGTTTGGGTACGAACAGTCCATCTCCAAAAATATTGTGGGGCTACTCAAACAACACCAATAGTCTTATTATTTTATATATGATTCATGTTGTATTGTTGGTTTAAGGGTTTGTTATTTTCAGTTGGACCCTGCTATTAAATGCGAACTTTTTTCATTATTTTGAGCTCTTCCTTCAGTTTCGGACTAAATTCAAGCTCCTTTATTTCGAGCTACGAAGGAAATTAAAGATAAAGGTTAAAGAACTAGCCGTGTCACGACTCCTCAAGAACACCTGTTTGATCATGCTTTACAATGCAAGTAACTTTGTCCACTTGCCTTCTCTTCCGATACTTATTCAGACAACAACTTACCGGTAACTAGCCCTTGACCAGTAGAGCCTGCAGTGCGATCCAAGGTCAGCCTTTTCCTTTCCTTAACTTTAAATAAGGGTTGCAGATAAGGGACAGGTCGCTCCATTAAGTTATACTCATATTCATTATTATTAATTCAGTATTGTATTCATATTTACACTATTATTTCGAACCCCTGCTTTTCGAATTCTTTTTCTTTTTCCTCCGACAGCTCCGTCGAGATAGCGGGTTTCAGCTGTAGTTTCACGAAGAGAGTATGACGGCTATTAATACTTTTTGAGTGTAACCCTCTAGCAATCGTCAACAACAGGTGTTGGTAGAACGTGTCTCTGCCACGCTCCGCAGTACAAACCCGCCTGGAAATGTTTTAAGGAGAATCATAAAATGTTTTAATCCATCGGGTCGTTTCACCATTCACTCAGTACAGAACAGGGTCCAATCTGGCTGTTTGTTTTTGATCAATTACAAACTCAGTGGAGAGCATCGTAACACGTTTGTTTACCTGATGACCTGTGTTCAAGCCAATACTTTTGACAGTTTCAGTTTAGACCGTAATTTCAAGTACCTACGTCAATAAAGCCACGTTTTATATTCATTCGTTTTGGACGTGCTCTAAGCGTATGCGGTGCTGACATCGAATTTTATTGACTTGTGATAATAACAATGAGTGAACGGGTGTTCATTTTAGCACGCAATACATCCATACCACAGTATTATAAAGCGACTCACACGGAAATTTCCGTTCGTACAGACGTGACAGACGTGAGCTTAATTACTTATCCTTCTTATATAGCTTCCATAAGCCTGCAACAACAGTCAACAATATAAAAACACAAAACAGCATTTAATTACGCAGTGGTTAGTATAATTTCGATGCGTCAAAGAGCTCCTCAAACTTGAACAAAACTTCCAAAGAGTGATAAACACGAAAAGAATAACTGCTATTTCAGATATAATGGAGCGTTTAACGCTGAATGAAAAGTCTAAAAGTCACGTTTACTCCCGATGAGTTTTCTACCGGACAAAAAAGGCGAGTTTTTATATTGGCACAGTTATAAAATATTGTTATCTAAAAGCGTAGAAACTTAACGTAATATATACACTGCCATGGTTCCATTGAAAACTTATTAGGGAGAAAATGTTTACTAAACTTCCAGTCTAAACTAATGATGTTAAAACATTAGATCTTTTAAAAACAGAAGACGAATTCCCTGATATAACTGCATGGGTGTGAAATGAAACAAATTTTCAAACGTGAATGTATAATAACTTAATTTAAATTTGAAATTTTGGCGAAAGCCAACAAATTCCAAATACAAACAATACATTTACATTATCACTGCCAGCTGCTCAAATGTTAGAAAATACTTTGGACGCAAAGTTGTTAAAATTACTGAGCTTCAGAGCTGGACAGACATCCCCCAGTTTACTTTTCACTTTTTTCTTGAACGAATAAATGCAACTTTGTTAGGGATATGTTAAAGGACATGCTTTGAATGTTAAACTTTGCAAGTTTGATTTTATGTACGTTTCCATGACAAACTTTAAGGAGGTTCTTACAAACTCTTCCGCCTTCGCTGAAAAGCGACTACCATTTTCGAATTTTCCACACCAAATATAATTGCAGTTTAAGAAAAAAAAAACTATGCTAATGGCGTCGCCGTTCAATTCAATCATGCATACGTACAACCTATGTCGCTATCGTTGTTCGTGTTTTGTTGAATTGTTTCGGCAATGATTGAGGTCCTGTTTACAACTTTAGCAGGGTTGCAGTCGTTAGACCTTGTTATTTAGGCCCTTCCTCTAATTGGGTGCATCAATAGCTGCCCGAAGGGAGACTGCGACAAGACAACAAAATATATTATTGTCAATTATGTGAGGCCAGTTCAAAAGAAATGAATTGTTTTCCAAACTTGATTCAACGCAAGCAACCGAGAAAAGAAATGAGAGGCATATAAAGCTAGTGTGAACGGCAATGTAAATGACGCAAATATTTTCAACTGGAAAATGAAACGCGGAAGTTAAACGGCTTCTTTTTCCCTTTTATATAAAACTGTTGTCTATCGATCTTTACATTTCAGTCTGGACAAATTTCTGATCTATATAAGTATTTTACGTTGAACGATAATATATTTATAGCTGGGTTTTTATAATTTACAATTTCGTTGTGACAGATATCTACTATAGAAACTAAGAAAAGTCAGTACGGTAAGGTTATTTTGAATGCTAGCGCTCAGAAATAAGTAGCATAAACTCTACATAAAAGCATGTCCGATTTATTAGAAAATGGAAAGTGACAGCGCTAAAACATTAGCGTGCGAAACCGTCAAGCTGTCGGAGGATTTAATTTACCGCAGTTTTTACCACTTCTATTTCTATTTCAATTTCACTTCTATGCATACGGATACGAATTGAGGGTGGGGGGTTAACTTCTTAATGGAACAGCTCGGAACTGCAATGATTTTTGGCACTAGTTGTGTGTCTGGCGTTTTAAAATTAGCTGGAAACAGGCGTTCAAGGCATGACTGACAACCGACACAACTGATGAAATGAATTATTGAAACACTGAAGCCCTTTGACGTAATTCCGGTGTCAGAAAGTCGAAAGCTATTGTTGTGATAATTTTGCTTCAATGAATTTTCTCGCGTGCTCCGAAAACGATCAGGCGAGCAATTTTTCTTTTCGTTAACAGTTGAAGAAATAAGACGATGGATTTTCTTAAATTGTTCGATATTTTATGTAAAAGATGCCTTGGATGAAACATTTATTGAAGGTAAGGAATACATTAGTTATTTTTTATTTGGACTGAAATGTTTAATCGCAAAGAACAGCAGGTGCAGAATACACGCGACTTTCATCGATGTACCGCTGTCGTTAGATTTAGTTCATCGAAGAAGAAAATAATACTTTTGGGGGGTGTTTTTCGCTTTTTCGCGGCTAGGAGCTACAAAACTCGCCGAGATCAACTGAACTCGATTGCCTAAAAGTGATATCTACAGAAAGTCACATAAAAGAGCGATATTATCGAAGCTCACAAACGTTCCTAATTTACGCGTTGCTATTTAATAAAAACAAATGCGAAATTAAGCATTTTCCTAGCTACAACCAATTTTTATTCAAGTAAGACTCGTGTTTGATCGAGTCAGTTGCCCTCCTGGCTGGTGGGAAATTACATGGTACTTCATACAAAAGCTAAGATTAAAGCCATTTATTAATAAGATTAATGCACCTAATTTTTAAGAGGCTGGCTTGCGTGAGCGAGTGTCACAAATGTGTCTCTTATCAATAGAGACATTTGCACATATTGTTTTTATTCATCCTCACTAAAATGCTCCCTCTGTAGTAAGTTTCCATTTCATTTCCTTTAAAAAAACTGATGGGGATCGATTTTAACATTGAGTAGAAGTTAAAAATGTTTCTTATATGCAAGAAATATACATCAATGATTACATGGCGGCTGAGAGTAATATCTGTCTTGAGATGTCTAGAAAGCGAAGACCAAAGACCGAAGATCCACCGTAAACGAAGACACCTTCGAAAAATGAAGACCTCGAAAACGAAGACCCCCTTGAAAAATGAGGACCTCGAAAACGAAGGTTCTCTAGAAAACAAAGACCTCAAAAACGAAGGTTCTCTAGAAAACGAAGACCTCGAAAACGAAGACCCCCTAGAAAACGAAGACCTCGAAACGAATCTTCGTTTTCGAGGTCTTGCGGTTTTCTAGGTGATCTTCCTTTTCGAGGTCTTCGGCGTTTTCTAGGAGATCTTCGTTTTCGATCATGAGGGGTCTTTGGTCTTTGGTCTTCGGTCTTCGCTTTTTAGATACCAGATCAGTCTTGAGTCATATTGACTAAGCTTTAAGCTTTGATTATTCTCATTGTTTTTCATCTTTAGGAAATGAAGGCTTAGAAGAACAGACGAAATATGTATCAAAACGAGCAGCCATCGTGTTCATACCAAGTAGATATTCCTAATTCGGGCGGTGGCGACTACTGCACTTTAAAACAAGTCCAGGATACCAAGACAACAGGGAAGAAAGCCAATAAACCAGCCACTCGAACAACACAACAAGGTGCTCAGCCCAGCAACCATAAACAGGAAAACAACAATGGCAACCTTTCGCCGAGGCAGAAAGTTGCACGCTCCAAATCAACGCCCGAAAGCTTAGTGCGAGGCGGCGAGGAAGAGCCGTCCAGACAAGCGAACGGTTGCCAGCCTGGTAACAGCTCTATTGTTATTGCCCCAGGGAGGAGAAGTACAGGGCATGTTAGAGCTGGAGGCAGGCGAAGTCTGGGGAGTCTTTCTAACAGGGAACCACCAGCGCCCCTTTGTTATTTTGCTTACTTGGGCAGGCTTACCCCAACAGCCAAAGGTTCCCAGAGGGTACCCAGGAGGAACAGGCTTCCTTCCGCTCACGATATTTTGGCAGATCGGCCTGTTATCCTGACCAGCACCTCCATTGTGTCTCCGTACGCAACCAACGTTATTTGCCAAGAATTTGAAGCGTTTGAAGAACGTGAAAGACGGGGGGACTTCATGGACCTGTTGGACTGCTGCACCTGCATGTGCTGCGTCAAGGGACTGTTCTACCACTGTACCAAAGACACTAAGGATGAGGGGTCAATGGAGGAGAACCCGTGCTCGTGTGAGGGACCAGTGGGCGGGTGTCTTGCCCGGTGGGGTGTGATGGGGCTCATGTCCGTCTTCATGCCTTGCCTATTGTGTTATCTTCCGTTTGAGGCTTACTTCAAGTGTGACGACTGCGTGAGAAAGATGAAACACAGAAATCAACAGAAGGACGCTCACGTGCCAAGCATAAAGTATTCACCAAATGACGAGCCATCATCAATGTCCATGGATTCCAGACGTGAACTAGCGATATAGAAGTTCAGGCTGCAGTTCAGAAGCAGATTTTTCGTCAGAGAATGAAATGATATTGTGACTACAGTAGGTTTTCTGATCGGTGTTAAATGCGTCGTTCGTCACAGATAACCATGGTAGGACAGAAGCGGACATTTTGTTGCAGCGCTCTCACCTCGACTTTAGTGACGATTTTTGTCATTGAAATTCAGAAAACCCGGACGATGCATCAATTGATGAAAAAGACAGTTGCAAGATTATTTGAGGGTCTCGATGAGGTGGTGGCCAACGGTAAATATTTTGGCTTTTTACATTTAACGGCTAAATTTTTGGCTGGTTTTACGGTCAGTGGTTTTCCCCATTGAAACCGTCTAGTTTCGCGAAATTAAAATCGAGCGGAGGCAGCCATGGCGGAAAAAGTGCAAGCCTACCGTGAAATAAAGTTATTATCTGCCCGGCGTTTTTACCTCTGACTACACACAAAAATACTGATGTTAAAACAAATAAAATTGTAACACGCATTACTAGTACAACGGCTGACTTTTATTTGTTCAAAAACGTACAGATCTCCACAAATTACACGAGCGGATCGTGCGTGGACTTAACCGACTGACAATGAGATAACTTTCAACAAAGTGTAACTTTGTAAATTTCCGGAGTAACAGCAAAGTAACCCCCAGGCAACTGTTGCCGTGCTCAACGTTGAAAGCAGAATATCTTGAAAGGGTTTTTTTGTGTGTGTGCAGTTGGTGTAGGTGAAAATATAATCGATCCATAATATTTGCATGCGTTTTTGTAAATAAGTATTATATATTAGTAGCAGTCGTACGTTATCCCGTTAACACGACCACGTGACTGGCTGAGTTTTTTTTCATTCGGACCAAGAAAATGGTGGTTTTAAAATTTACTTTAATATAAAACAGTTTATGAATACGAACAAGAATCGAACATGATCACGATCGAATATGATTCAGTAGCGTTGACTTCAGTACAAAATTAGCAGAACATAAATAAGATGCAGATATAAATATGTTTCATATACCGTTTAATATGCGTCCTTGATAGAATTTAACACTTACTTATCAGCTGAGTAATCAAATAGAAATTAAAATAAACATTCAGACACGATCTGTTGTTTACAAGTTCTTCACGGCATTTCATCTCAGCAAAACGATCAGTTTGTAAGTTAATCGAACTGACTAGAGGGTAGCGGTAAAGATCTTACAAGAAATTAGGATGGAGAAAGCAGAAAAAGTAATTGGGCACTTCAATATTAATAGATCGAAGCTAACGTAGGTGGTCTAATTATAGTCTTGCTGGACATCTTCTCCAAACACGACAAATATTAAAGTTTGGGTCTGTGTCTGAATCGAGTTCAAATACAGTTAATGGCAGAACTGGGATACAGAGGTCCTACTCAATTCGTGCTACCGGCTCAATTTGTCGGCAAGTCTGACTTAGAAATACAAACTGGAATATTTATCACCACTCCCTCCCATCGCCCTGCAATCACCCCTTAGGAAGACGATATTTTTCAGGCTCGGTTCCTCGGCAGGTCTGACTAGTACTCTCAGAGGTTTTTTTATTACTTGTACCCTTCCCCTCCCCCCTCCCCCCATTCACTTTCGCTTATCTCCCATCGCTTCAACCTTGAAATAGTGGGAACATTTATCCAAAATAGATTAGACAGGTTACAATATTTGGCTCGGGGTCACAACATGTCATAGGGCCAGTATGAACTCTATCTTAATATAAAACGTAAAAATTCCAAAATATCTCCCCACCTCATAATATTTAGCTTCGTACCACCCAAGAACTTTAACTTTCTCTTCGCTCGTTCTAATTGCTCGTTCAGTTACTTAATTCTCGAATTTTTCTGGCAAGCAAAACTTCTTTTTTAAAAAATTACGATGTTTTGGAAAAGCAAATATCCGTAAAATGGATTATAACTCACGTCATGTATCCACTAAATGATGTAAAAGGTATAAATCATTACATTAGAGTAAAACCACATGTGTATTTAAAATATCTTTCAAAACGTCTAAGTAATGTTTTGATAATGGCTTTGTATTGGCTGTCTTTCGCTTCATTGAGCTTGAAAAAACCTGGCCGAACAGAAAAATGAAAAGCTAGGTTACAAAAGGTAATTTCTTGTCAAAATATAATCAGCAAAGCATACATATCGGGTATTCCTCTCTGAAAAGGCGGAAAAACGAGAATAAAAATTGCGCAGTTTATTAGAATTTACAATGACGCAAGTGTATTCACGATTGTCACACGCACGTCAATGCAAAGTAGGTTAAAATAAATAATGCTATAGTCTATAAAGACAAGCTACTAGTAATTTGAAACACTTTCACTTTGACTTTGTAAATTACAAACTAGCATTTGTTTCGTTTTGTTGAATTTCCAGCAAAAACATCATAACATTGAATTATTTCCAACAGTTGTTCACTAACCGAGCAAAGAGTTTGTTGAAAAGATACTTGGTAAGTTTTCTGCCCTTTTTTGATAAGTTTTGGAAAATTATGTCGCAATATTGTTAAACCGACCTTTCGAGTGTTTGGTACACGAGTGTTTTGTACAGCCACTAAAATTAGCAACGATGGTTTTGTTTTTTGTTGTAGCCCAATTGCGGAGCCAATCGAACTGTGGAACGTCGTTAGATGTTTAACATTATGCAGGGTACATGTAAATGTTAAAACACTGCGGCAAGTATTTAGAATAATGGGAAAACTGGGGTCACTGAGCTTTTTGATGAGTTGTGAACCTTACAGACTAAAATTAAGGGTGTTGTGGAGGATATACAGTTGTTAAGGTAGAATGCAATGTCATGCAGATATTCACATCTTAATTGTTCGAGATTGATTGGCATTCGTTTGAGATAATTATAGCTTATCATTATTTTAACATCAGTGAATATGGTGTAGTAGTATAATTCCACCAAAAAGAAATGGGTTCAGTTCTTTCACTAGCCGGTCACCGCACGCTGTGACACATTCTAGCTACTTCAAATGATTAGGCTCCCTGGTTTGCCTCGACCTTCCGATTTCTCTTGGTATTTTCTTATTTGTAGCGATCCAGAGGTATAATGCATACGGCCGTCAGGAAGTCATCTTCATTATCAGGAATTCTCGAGTCACCGCTGAATTCGACTGCTGATGTGGCACGAACTCTCGTATTTCAACCTAACGACGACGGCGCAAGGGTGAAGAACGAGCAACGCAAGAAAAACAAGAAAAAAGAATCGCTCCGAAGATGCAAATCTTCCCCCGAGAAGAAGTTGTCGAAACAGAGCCGAGAAACGAACTCAGATGCGTTGAAGTGCGCTTGGGACAAAGAAAGAGGCTATGTTACAGACTTGATAGCAGAACAAAAACCGATCACAAACCAGCCCCAGCTCTCCTACTTTGCTTATCTGGGGAATAACTATCCAGGGCAGGGGCGATATCAAGCCGTGTCAAGCAATGCAGAGGCCATTATTAACCTGGGTAATGGAATCATCGCTCAAAACAGGTCACCGTCTGTGACAAATTCAGTCGAGCGGGTAATTCATGGAAACGAAGTCCGCAAAAGCGTTACGATAAAAACTGACACAGAAAGACTTTTAGAGTGCTGTTCTTGCATGTGCTGCGTGAAAGCTGTATTTTATCACTGTACAAAGAACAGAGACTTCGAGAGAAACTGGGCCGACCAGCCTTGCTCTTGCGAGACTGGGACCGATTGTGGTGCTCGATGGAGCATTCTGGGAATGTTTTCTCTATTTCTGCCCTGCCTGGTGTGTTATCCTATCATTAAAGAGTGTTGGAAGTTTCCTTTTAACTTAACTAAAAAGTCATAGACTGATGTGTTTTTTTGTTTCATTTGAAAAATAACCTAGCAAGCTAGTAACTTTCACCAATTCACATAATTTAAATACTAATGCATTGTGTGCAGTGTTTCGGTTTATTCAAATACAAGGTTTGTTTCTTTAGGTTTTAATACAAAAGGATTATTTTCAACATCCATAGGTTGTTACGCAAACGTCGTTTGAGCATTTTCTGATCGTACATGAACGAACGTTATGAAAGAAAATCTGGAAAAAATAAAAGACCAGTTTATGTCTTCATAAATTGTAGTTAATGGGACAACCGTGAGAATTACGTGTGGATTGCGTGACATGCAGTAACATTGGGTAGGGTTTCACAGGCCAAAGTTCAATTCTGATCATGTGCGTCCATAGTGCAATCTGCGGGCTGAGCCAATCAGGGTAGTTTTTATTTCACTGTCAATCAACTCCTAGTGCATTGAACATAAGCCTAGTGTTTATTCATTCCATCACTTTAGCAGGCAAACACCTTGCCTGCTTTCTAGTACAAGTAGTTCAGTGTGATAAGCGCTGGTTCGGTAAGCTAGACATTGGGAGTTCAAATCCCAGTGGTGACTACTGATTATTTTTACATTTAACTAAACATATTTTGGGCTGGGTTTGTTTCATCTATGGGGAGTACACTTCGTGTATTTGTGGGGATAAAGTGCTCCCATACAAGTCACTCTTTGCCCCATAGACTCACAGAATGGATTGGTTGCCGTGGTAACCACGAGTCTTAGCTATCTTTCCTGAATAAGGACCTCTTTCAGGGTATTGTGACCTGCAGCCCTGAGGAGGATTAAGGACCTCTCGCAGGGTATTGTGACCTGCAGCCCTGGAGAGGAGTAAGGACCTCTTTTAGGGTATTGTGATCGGCAGCCCTAAAGAGGAGTAAGGAACTCTTGCAGGGTATTGTGATCTGCAGCCCTCAAGAGGAGTAGCATCTCTCTTAGGGGATCGTGACCTGCACCCCTAGAGAGAAAGGAGGTGAGGGGGGTTTTGACCCCTCCCATCTTACCAAGCTAGACTAGTATTCTGTTAGTGACACTGGCCTGTTGGAGCACTTCATTCTCAACCCCTCTCCCCACATTTATTGTTGTCTGTGTTTCTGTTTCTCATGGGTTGCAAGCATCACGTGACACTTACTATGGTGAGTGTACACTTACTATGGTATTATTATTGGTCTAAACATATATAGTTCATAGAGGGAAATGGTTAGGAAGGCCAGTAAACATCAAAGAAGGGAACAAACAGGCTAAGATTTATGTTGGAAAACCCTTGACCCTGCACATCTTTTGTTTTATGCCCACTGACAATGCATGAATTACATAATCACAATGCTTCTATTGGTTAGTTGTATGAGCACACATAATCACCTTTTGTATTTTGCCAGGTCAACCCCCAAAATAGCCAACAAGAACATACAACAAAGAACTTTGCCAGGCTTCCCAACCATTTCCCTCTAGTAACTATGGTCTAGAACAGCTGCTTGCTTAACATTTGCCAATGGGATAATATCGTTTAAGAAGCATATAGTTTCCGGAAAATTAAGTTCAAGGCCGTAAGGGACGAGACATCAGGGATGGAACCAAGCTTCTGAGTGGGGCCAAGCCCAATGTTTGGCTTCGTCGAATGTTTCTCAGTTCAGAACTGAGAAAACAAAGAATATATTAAATGAGACCAAATTCGTGTAAACTGGGAACTAATCTCTATTTCCTTGTTCATGAATAAAATACTGAAATGAACGAATGATTTTTGAGCCATCCCCTGTTGCAAGCTTAAGTGATGCACAGTTACCTTGCATACGGCGGCTGCGCCCGCAGTACAAGCGCCAGTCAAAACTGAGCTGTCCTACCTAAACGACACGATAAGAGCCTTTTTTCTTCGCAGCTAACAAAAATAAAGACAATGCTTAAGTTGATTTGGCCCTTCTAATAGTTAACTTGAGAATTCTAGGTTTCATTTGGCGGGGAACAGCATATTTCGTTCAGAATAAGACAATTATTGTCCTACCTGGCGACACTCAACTACTAGCAAGTTGCCATGCCGGAGGCCGGCGACCCATCTTTGTCGCCAAATTAGAAGCTTGAGGACACAAAATGTTTCATATTTTCACTTTTTACAATCTGATATGGTTTTAAATCCATTTTCGTGAATATTTAATGCAAACTCCAGTGAGAAAAGTTGCCCGATTTCAATGCCTTCGCCTGTTAACTTACACTGACTTCAGGACAGTAAAGTTTTTCCCGCCTGCTGAATCCTGATTGGTCAATTTAAATTTCAGTCGCGCCAGCCAAGGTTACCCATGATATTAAAATTAATGTCATAATTTACAGCAACCTATCAAAAAATCGTAGGAGAAACAAGGATAAATTAAATTTTATTTTTGCAATCTTGTAAACTTTTGCTCTTGGTTGGACCGTGCATTGAATCAAATCATTTCATTTAACTGTTTACCTTTTTTCCGGCCAAGAAAAAGGTACTAATAGAAATAAAAGAAAATTATGACACACTTTGAGAGATTGATGTTTTGTGATAAGCACTAAAAAGAAATCTATTTACACAAAAGCCCTCTGAGAGGACCTGTGGTTACTGGATAATGAATAACCACAATGATACAAAAAAAAGTTACAGAGTTTTAGTTTTATTGAAAAATATTTGTTTTGAAATTTAAACGCTTGACACATATGTTCTCTGCATCACTGTGCGTAGCATCAGGTACCACTTTACGATGTGAGGATGGGAAGGCCAGGACGGGAATGACAGTGGCTCGCTAGAACGGGGACGTCAATGACTGGAGCTACATAAAAGCTTTTCACAAAACCAATGACATCCTTTAGAGATGGTGGAAATATTCAGTTCTTAGTCTTTATTACATCCGATATCAGACTAACTTTGTTTTCATAACCAAATCGATATGGACTCGCTTAAGGCCGGTGTCACTCCGGTCTACACCACTCTACTTCCCTATACATGTCCATACTTCGTAATAGTTACCTTCAGTTTAGTTCTAGGGTTGTTGATGTTGTTTTCGTTGTTTTTGTTACACGAGTCAGAACTATCTATGAGTTACGACATGTGGCTGAGACGTAACGTAATTCGCAGCAGACTAAAAATTAAACAATAATTAGGGAAATCCCCTATCTAAACATCTATATTATTGTGACATCATATTTACAACACTAACTTACGGCTCAAAGGATTAGAAAATGCTAAGAAAAGCCTAACCAGACAAAAAAATAGTTACGGTAGGTCAAAACAGAACAGAAAAACATAGCCTTCCGGTATATTTCGACAAAAAAATATTATTTTGATGCCAAAACCTAGAATGCAAATTGAAGGGTCTTCTGTTAGATGAGAGAAATACGATGACGCAAGTGAGTAAATTTAAGTACGTCAATTCAAAATAGTCTAAAAAAATACAATGTTATAGTCTACAAAATTAATCTGCAAGACATGATTGCTTTGTAGCTCGCTCAAACTAAGTTTGTTTTACTGGAGTTTTCTCTGCAACAACTCTTTGCTGACTGGGCATAGAGCTCGTGGAAAGTTTCCTTGGTAAGTTTTCATTTGTCTTTCGTCAATTTTTTTAACAGTTATGTAATCTTGTTAGCCAGCCCTTCAAGAATTCGCATGTAGACATTTTTGCCGGTATTGACATCGGCAGCAATGTTTTGTTTTTTCAGTAATCCTTCGAGCCCTGAAATTCATTAGCTCCTGGGTCCTCCTGTAGTTTTTGAATTTAGATTTACTAGAAAGGGACTGGAGTTGATGATTTATCAACTATTTTATGGATGTCGTGCCATCCGAACCCAACATGCAAAAATCGGAACGTGTCTGAACGGCTCGTCGCGTATCATATACATATGGCCTCAGTTTTAAACGCTGCACCTAACATTTCTGATAATTCAAGGGACTCTGTATCTCTTCCCAAGTATTTTTGGATGACAAAATGTTAAAACGTGTATGCGAATGATTACTCAATGAGAAAAATAGGCTCACCAAGTTTGTCGTTTGAGTTATTGAGATTAGAAAATTAAGGGGCGTTTTCTACAAGTTATGCCAGTCCATGCTATTGCTACACAGAAAATCATACCTACTTTGCCGCTGATGGGATCCAATTCGATAAATATTATTATTTTATCATAAACTGATTAAGTGGGGTATTATTCATCCACTAAAAAACTGAATGGGTTAATTTTCAATTTACCCATACCGCTCTAAATAACAATTGTGCGATGCTTTCGAGTGGTGTACCGTGGAATACCCCGCTTGTCATGCACTTATTTCCTCGCCTTTAGGCGAGGGCGCATACCGAGAAATTCCACGGAGTGCCACGAGAAAGCATAACCATTTTTTTGTTGTTGTTGTTATTATATAGACACGAATATTTTACGGGAAAATATCACGAAGACGCGAGCGAGCTTTGGAGACGGAGTTTTGGACTTCGGAGTTGCCACTGGCAACTTATCTCGTTTCCAATGGTAACAATATCGTCGCCTGCAATTTCGCGCGCTTTGCTATCAATGACGTCATGCCGACAAGTTGCCACTGGAAACACAGCAAGTTGCCAGTAACAACAACACAAGTTGAACGCTAAAACCTAGTCACCAAACTTTCGTCGCGTCTTACTCAACTGATAATCGTTGTACAACACTCGTAAAATTTATCGAAACTACATCCGGGCGCGAGTGCCGTATTTTCCATATCCTCGGCCTCACAAGTGAAGATATTGATGACGTCATTTCCCGCTTTTTCACTGTTGTTTACGCCAGCAGTTGGTTTGACCAGGAACATATGGGATATGTTCCTGGTTTGTTTTTATGATAAAAACAAAATTACACGGTGGCTTGAAGATATGAATTTTATATCCTCGTGTTACAAAACAATTCTTTACTCACTCGCTCTTCTCCTTCGTAAAATATTGTTTTTGCCACTCGAAAATAAAACTCATATCTTCGCAATACCATGTAATATCCTCTTTATGGCATGACATGGAAAATACAATGGAGAAAATAATATCGCAGCGTAGATGTGAAGTTTGTGTATAATACCGTCCAGTATACAACGGCATTCCTGTTTTCTTTTTGTTTTTTTCCTCTATGGCCAGATATTAGACATTTTAACCTCTTGAAATATCTGGGGGTGGGGACTCTCATATAAAAAAAGGACGGGGTGCTTTGCGTACATTTTAGGGGTCAAAAAGCGGTGTTAGTACCTCTCAGGGTGTTCAGCCTCAAAAGTTCCACAGCGGGATCTTTTGAGGTACCTTTTAGGGTGTTGGTAGGTAGGTAAGGTAAAGTCTGCATACGAGCCAAGTGGCCCATCAGGCCGGAGCTTATCCCGGTTTCTGTAGCATGAA